TGATGTTATCATGTCAGCCCTCAGGAAGGTAGCTAACCTTTACTCGTACATCCCTCTTTCTCAGGAGAAACTAGAAGGATTTTCAAAGAACTGCAAAATTGTCATGAGAGGAGAGGTTAGAAACGCATCACTTTCTTGTGAGTCTTTATCATTCACTTCCCTACAAAAAGAGAATAATCAAAACAGAAACATCAACAAGCCTTTTCATTTAAAGGAGCTAGATTCCCAAATCTGGTCTATTTGGTAGAACCGACATACTTCCTGACCTACTGTAGTACATAGGTGGTATATGACGGAGATGCTTTTGATTCCTACAGACAAGATCTCTAGGTATCTTCACCCAATATGAACAATATGTCCACCTTAGCGTGGACAGTGCCTCGTACTCCTGCATCTGGAATCCAAACTTTCTGCTGTGGGGAAAGAGCAGGTGCATTTCTGGAGGCATGCCTAGTGTTATAATTCTGTCTCTGATGGTCCTTTATCAGTTTATCTTTGTCACAAAATTTCTGTGGATTGACAAGTTTTGGAACCAAGTCATCTATCGTCATTGTGCAGAGTCGGTGACTCATAAGCAACTCAGCTGGATTGTATCCATGCTCTAATGGTGTTGAATGGTATGTCAGGAGACCCTTATAGAGATCTTCATTTTTCTGAAGCTCTGCACTGCACATTCTGCTTCCCTGTTACTATGAGGGGACTGTGGATTGCTGGTCATATGAAGAAAATCATAGTGGGCTACAAACTGCTTAAATGCAGCTCCATAAAATTGTGGACCATTATCTATTCTTAAAACTGAAGGTATGCCATGGTGCACATATATACTCTTCAACGCCGTTATATATCTCTCAGTTGTGGTGTTCTGTAACTGTGCCATCTCCAAGTAGTGGGAGTAATAGTCAACAATAACAAGGTAAACAGATCCCTTCCAGCTCAGTAAATCAGCTCCCAGCATCTGTCATAGATAATCTGGTAATTTAGTCATAGGTCATAGCTCTATAGGGATTGTCAGTGTTGAGCCCTACAACTAGCCACCCAGTTCTGTATATCCTCATTAACAGAAGGCCACCAAACTGTCTAACAAGCCCAGGCTTGACAGCTTGTAGTACCCTGATGAGTTTCATGAGTCTTCTCTAGGATCTTTGGTGTAGAGCAGAAGATATCAGTACTTTGTTATGGAAGATGACTAAACCCCTGGCAATGTGGAGACTAAGTTTTTCCTGTTGGTATCATGCCAGCCCACAGTCTTTGAATCTTACATGAGCCCATCCTTCTAAGCAGTACCTCTTTATCTTTTGATAGAAAAGATAAGCTTCTTGAGTTTTCATCCTTGGGTCCATCAGCTTTTACACATATTCTATATTCACCTGACATTTTTCCAAGACCTGAAAAGATGGATGGGTATTTGGTTCTGCAGTACTGCTCCAAGGATTTCTGGTTTGCTATTTTATCCAGTCAACAGACAAGTTGTCATGCTTGTATGGCTGGTAAGCCAAACAAAGGCACAGCAAGATTACAGACAACATGAACTTCCTGGTCTATAGTTCTCTGCTTCAGTGTCATTTTTGCATTGAAGGATCCCAGTACTTTGAGGTCCTTGTAACCTTTTAGTAGGAGGAAGGAGGATCTCAACCCTATGTTGGCTGTAGTAAGTATCAGGTGTAGCTAGAACTGCTGCTCTTGTAACAATTTTAAATGGAATTGACTGTTCATTGCCCTCTATTTCTGTCATCCAGACTCCTGGGTCTGATGAAGACTGTAAATTCTCCTAATAACAGTACAATCTTCTGAGTCCTGTTCTGTGACTCTGTGGACTTCTGCGGTTGAGTGACAAACCACAGGTGTAGTGACCTTTCTTTTTACATCATCAACATGTCTCTTCCATAGCAGGACACTTAGCATAGCCATGCCCAGGGATTTCACCACACCTTTGGCATTGACCCCCTTGCCCACTTGGCTATTGCTGGGTGCCAGTGAGCCCACTCCCTTTGTTCACTGTGAAGGTCAATTCTATATTTGGTTGTGGTTTCTTGACAGTGCATTGCACCCATATTAGTTGATGCCCGATAGGGCTTGGAATCACTTCTAATTTCCATTTGTTGCTGCTTAACTAACTCTGATAGGTGGGCTTGTGTGACAGCCTTCTGGAGTATTAAATTAGGGTCCAACTGTAGTCTTTGTGAGATCTCTTCATCGTGAAGAACCACAACTAAGCGGTCCCTAATCAATTCTTCCTTGAGCTCTCCATATTGGCAAGATTCAGCCAGTGTATACAAAGAAGTGATAAAACTGTCCACAGGTTCTGAAGGCTCCTGTTTACAGAGATTGAATTTAGCTTGTCCATAAATCACAAAGAGAACTGACCTCCAGTGTCAGGGATGAGATGCAGGAAAGCACCCTCTTGAGGGGCAAGATCTGCTGGGCCTGGGTTACAAGTCTCAGGATGGTGTGAACTCCT